CAGGCCAACCAATACGAAGCCATCCCAATGGGTAGCCCAGGACTTATACCATATCTCCTCTCTTGTGTTCGACCGCCGCATGGCTGATTACTCCCGGTTGCCCCCTCTGTGTGGACTCTTACTGTTCGCGCAGCGTAATCCATCACCATTTCTTCGAACATTCCTACAAGATCAATGTAGTCCTCATCTTCTTCAGTGATCTCTTCAATCACTGGCATAGGCGTTGTCACCAACCTACGCACTTGCTCATTTCCTTTTGCTCCTTGCGGTGCTCTTGCTTGTGGCTGTGTAGAAGAACTTGGTTGCTCTTCATACCATTCTTCCTCACCTTCCTAAAGTAAGGAGTACCATATTTGGGGGCCGTTTTAAGAAGGATTCTACTGTTTAGGGTACTATATTAGGGTCCCCCATGTTCGGAAGCCCTCATAAATTAAATGCCCTACAACTTAAACCCTCATGTGTACACTACCTTACAGAACCAGCGCTAAACCCATATGCAATCCCAAATGGAAGACGAATTCAACCGGCCTGGATCGCTTACGGAGAAGCCTTGTAAAGGCTCTTAAGGGAACTTTGAACTTCCTCCGGACACCCTAAAAAACCCTAAAGCCTAAACCTGGAAACCTTCAAAACCTCAAGCCTAAACCTAATCTAAACTTACCCTCAACCCCAATTCCTAAAACCTACACCTCTACTTGGAGGTTCATGGGTAGTTATAAGTGGGGTTAGAAGTCCCCCAACATGGGTTATCAATACAGCTGCCCTACTCATAATCCTACTTACAACCACCCATGAACCTCCAAGTAAACCCTGAACAGGCCTCGGGTTCGGGATTCTCATCTTGGAGATCGACTTCGTAAGGCTCGATGTGCTGCCGCTCCTGCCGATAGAGCTTAGCTTGTAATTGCTACCAAAGACCTGCTCTTTTGTAGGGTCCCGGAAAGTTCTATGGTAGTGTGAGACCCTACACAAATGCAGTTTGTGGTAGTTGAAACTAGGATTTTACGACTTCGGCTGTGTAGCTTCTGGCTTGCGACATAGGCTTCGAGAGTTAAACCTCCTGGTTGGATATTCAGGGGTTTCGGTAAGAGAACCCCGTTATGTTTTGAGGTGTTTGGGGGTTTCGCGCTTTTGCCTCGACTCGAAACATCGACCGCAAAGGCTACAACCCAGAATTACACACCAGCCTGAAAACCCCAATCCCGAAATCTTCACCAACCCGCAGCAGCCTACACCTCAAACTCGACCTGAGGAACCAACACCCTGCTGTTTAAGGGGTTACACCCCGTAATTAAGGGGTAACCTACAGTAAACCCCATAAAGTTGGAAACCGGATTAAGGCCAAATAGTGCTGGGATCCCCCCATAGTTTACTCTTAAGAATTGAGGCTATTCGGTTTCCAACTTTTGGGCTTCTACTGTAGTATTTTGTAGGGTTTGGGGATACAGGTAAACCTTACAAAAACTACGTAACAGTAAAGCCGTTAAAACCTACCCGTAGTCTCCATTGTAGTTCCTTCTTTTGTCTAACCAAATTTACAGTATAAGATCCTAACCATAAAACAGGTTAACCCAAAACCATAACTACAATGGAGAGTATACGTAGACGATGAGTCTGCTGCCGCCGCGATGGAAGTGCAAAGATGCTATGACTTGGTCCAAAGCGAACGTACCATCGCCAGTTCATGCGCATCGGTATATATAAGGCAAGCGGCCTGGGGTACAATGCAGGGCACCAAACCCAAAGCCCCATAATTACACCCGAAACACCTACACCCTACGCCTACACCCTAATCCCCTCAAGCCTCACCTCAAGGGTCGAAGTACCCGATAATCATATACTCTCCCAAATCCTAACCTACATAACTACTATCCTAAAGCCGAGTACCTGATTATTGGGTCCTTTGGAGATTTGGGGTCATCTCCAAACCCTTTTTGAGCCCCTCCTAAACTCCTAAACTCCAAACTCGCAACCAAAGCAAACCCCCAAGGGCAGTAGAATGCCGTAGCAGTGCCTAGGACGAGTTGGGGCCCTAAAGCAGCCATTGGGTCCTTGTGGTCTGGGCCTTCGAAACCTGGGCAAAGAGTCAGCGAGCGAGACACCCACACCCACTTGCTATGTATGTATGTATGTATGTATGTATGTATGTACGCATGTATGTGTGTATGTAGGTAGGTATGTATGTATATTTATGCACACACACATATGTTTAACTAATTAAGTCAGTGAGTGAGCAAGTAAGCAAGTAAGTATGTATTATGTTTATGCGTATGCACATATATGGCTGTAAGTATATATGCATCAAGGCCTGCTTGTGTGTGCATACATATACACCCGCACACCGGCCTACACATATGCAGGGATTCGGAGAGAGCGAGAGAGGGAGCGAGAGAAACATGAGTAAGTAAAGAAAGACACACAAACGGACAGATACACCGAACGAGCGAAAGAAAGTCATAACTTCCATAACTAATGGATCAACACGTACAATTAAACTAACAAAAAACACCAGACACACACAGCCTAGAACAGCGACATCGACAACGCCGCAAATCCTAAATTCCGATGTGCTCCGGGGAAGCCTGCATCCCAATACCAAAAGCGCAAGTTCTACATGTCATCCATGAGGCTCCACGGACATTTTCGATAACAAGCGATCTCCAATGTCGCAACTATCACCCAAAGCGGACGTTGTTTTCACCGACTTTCTCATAGGGTTCTCTACAAACTGTGTCCGGTGTTCCTGTGCAAGAGTACATTGCGACCTTTCCAGGTAGAAGCCCCCTCGACACACGTTCCTTAACGAGCCTTCAGAAGCAGATCCCTTGGAAGACCCCGTTAGCGCCGAAGCAGAGCCTGAACAGCCAACCGAAAATCTCAAAGAAGCACATCCCTAAGCCCTAAAATCCCTAAACCCTAAGCCCTAGACCCCGAGCCTTCTCAAGCCTCAGGCCCCCAATTCCCCAAACCCAAAACCCAAACCCAAAACCCCTGGGGCTCTAAGGACTCATGTATTACGGTGTCTTGGGCCCAAAGACCATGCTATGTAAGGCTTTTGGGCTATTTTGATGCCCAGGAAAACGAGCTCTCCCGACCTGGACTGAAAAACCTGAAATTCGGACCCCCTGCCCTCTCCATGGAAGCTTGGCCCTTAGCTCGAAGCCCTCTGAGGCCGATGCAACCGCGTTGGACCAGCATGCAAGCGTATAGTCATTAAGAGTGAGCGTCCTTACAGATACAAGCGTCTGATAGAACTTTACAAAATCCTATTAAGCCTACTAACCCTAAACCCCTAAACCCTAAACCCTAAATTTAAACAAAAACACGGAAGCCAAGCCCCCCTGCAGGAGCATGGCCATCCCCACAGCGCAAAAGCCTGTCCCCGGAGGACGACCATGCCTCTGAGGTTTCGGGTTCAGGGATTTAGGGTTTACGGTTTAGGGTTTCGGGTTGAGGGATTTTCGCTTTTGGGGCTTTCACAACTTACCTTGGGTTGGTAGGGAATGGAAGAATGGTAGTAACAGTAGTTATAATTCTACCCCATTCCTCCATTCCCTTCGAACCAAAGATAAGACAAGTGTCATAAGAGGTCGATTACGGGTTTGTTGTCGGTATCATACTGTACCGTTATTATTCATGGTTTTGTCTCCCTGCTGTTATCGTTTTGGGTGTTCGTAGAGAGGCCCGAAGGCATACCTTCAAGATCTTATGTTTTCGGTTTTACAACCTTTGCAGTTTCGACATGGGAGTTGCCGAAAATTAGGGGTACCTTATTTTGGGACCCTTGTAATGAGGATCCTACTATTTAGGGTGCTATATCAGGGTCCCCTATTTCCGGAAAGTCCCACATAACCCTGCAAGTTCCCTAAACCCAAAGCCCTAAGCTCAGAGAGCCCCAATGCCCCAGAAACGAGGACTGAATGAAGCCTAACCTCTAAACCACACCTACAAGCACCCAGCGCCACAAGACCATAGATCCAGACCCTAAGCCCTAAACCCTAAACCCTACGGTTTAGGCGCTTTGCTCACAGGACGGTAGTGTAGTTTCCCCCCGGGGTCCACTTCTCCTGCTGGGCTCAGCCCTAAGCGTGGTCGGACGACCCGCGGTGACAGGCAGCCGGTGGTCCGCAAGAGCGCCCGGCTGACCTTCTCTACCCTTGGCAATTTGGACACTGATCTGGTTCGCCCTGGTGTTCCGATTTTGCTGCACGCCACTCTCCTTTGCTGTACCCTTGAGGAGGCATTGGAGGTTTTTCCCCCACTTGTTGGGCTGGAAACGGGGGCTACCCCGCACGTGTACTACGACTCCGTGTCCTTTTATGGTCCCTATTTTTCTGCTTTGCTTCTGTCTGGTTGGCTGTGGCAACAGTGGCGTCGGGACTGACAGCGGAGCCAAGCTGGCACAGGCGCCTTCGGCGCTCACGCACGAGGGCTCGTATACAACTTTACGGTCCCTCTCAGCCAGCACACCGATCTCCCTTATCCGACAGGCAGTGGCTTGTCTGGAAGGCCATCACTCGGCGAGTTCGCTGGTGAGCATAGGCAAACGAGAGTTGCGCTTCAGAGACGAGGCAGCCATGCAGGCACGAAGACAGATGCCGCATGGGAACAAATCTCCGGCCTGGCAGTGTACATGCAAGCGCCACAACAAAGGAACGCAGGAGTACTGTGGTTCCTGTGGGGCGCATTGAACGGCGTCAAACAGCAGTGGCTATTGGCGCCACCAGCAACCAGTTCCGTGGAGAGCCTCGGAACAGCCTGGGGAGACTACGCAGCTGCCCAGGAAGCGGACACCATCGCCGAGGAGGAGAGGAAAGGGCTTGCAGGGAGCCGTTGCCCCAGGACGGGGACCGGACAGCACAGGCAAGGGAGCCAAGGCACCCTTGCTTTCAGCTTTACCTGCACCGCCGCCGCCTCCACCTTTGCCGGAGATACCTCAACCGGCCCTGGCAGCTACCCCAGCGGAGGTGTCCCCGGACAAGGCTGCCTTGCAAGCGCTCATGACCTTGCTGTCCTCACAGAAGGACAGTCTCCCAGAGCAGGTGCGTGCAGTCATCGATCAACAGGAGATGGCAGGCGCGCAACAGAAGACGAGACAGCTTCACAAGACTGTGTCGGCACAAGCAGCGGCACAGAAAGAACTCCAGAAGATCCGAAGCATGAGGTCGCAGTACCTCACAGCTTGGGGAACGTATCTGGGCCAACTGGAGAGTCTACTCGAGCAGCAGATGGCAGATCAGGCTCAACAACTGGAAGCCATGGACCAGCAAGAGCTACAGTGGGCTGCCAGTCTACAAAGTGCGACAGCCACCTTGGCCAAGCTTACAGCAGGAGAAACCAAGGATGGCGACAGCGAGGAGCAAGCCATGGACGAGGAGGACACCAAGATCGATGCTGCAGTGGCCATGGAGCAGGATCTCTCTCGGAAGAGGGCTGCTCAGCAAGAGACAGGTGCTTCCTTACTGGAGGCACTGAAGAAAGCCAAGCAAGGTGCGGACGAGGAAGCCGAGAACGGGGCAGAGGTCGCGGCTGGTGGGCGACAGGCATCGCGTACGCCGCGACGTGGTTCCAAGCAGGAACAATCCATGTCATCCGAGGAGGTGAAGACGGACAAGTCGGCGACGCCTGCTACGCCTCCCTTCATCGGGCCGATCAGTACGACGCACCCTGGCAAGGCCCACTCAATTGCCCACGGGAGTTGAGTGGGCCGATAGGCCCTCTCCATCACTCTGTGATGGATGAAAAGGACTTTGTGACCACATGGTGGGCACACATCTTGGCCGTCAACTTGCAGCTTGAGGTTAGGTTGCAAGAGTTTGGTCTGGATGAATCTTTCACATTCCCCACTGACCCTCGCCAAGATGATGCAGACTTGCAATGGGCCAGTGGTCAGACTTGTACAGTTGCTTCTGATGTAGTTCCAATTTCTCGTGACTGCTGGATAGCTTAGCCGCTCCCTGGTGACACCGATGGTGTTCATGTCTTCCGGGTCTCTGTTCAGCTCATGGATGTAAGCTGGCAGATGGATCTGATGCGACATGGGCCCATGAGACACACCTTGTGAGCGACTGCGCTGTCGAGCTGCCACGGGATTTTATTGGGCGATCTTCCAGTAGGTCGTGCTTGCACCGTCTCCGGCATCCTTTGGGTTTCAGGGTGTCAGTGGCACAACAGGCACAAACGGCCAGGCTAAACTCTCTCCTTCGCCAGCTCTCGAGGTCCCTTTGCCGACTGGATTTTTCAGGAGGGCGGTTCCCTGTCGGACCCTAGGCCCTAGGCAGAACCTTACGGCAGCAGCCGACCTTGTGGATTCCTGCCTTCCTCCTCCTCCTCCAACGGCCCCATCTCGGGGAGCCGGTTTTGGTCTTTCGGCCCCAGTAAGGGGAGCCGTTCCGGCTGCACCGCGGAACTTGCCGACTGGGCAGGTATCCCTGCTGACTGCTCAGATCCGGAAATCGCTTCTGAGCCCCTGACAGGGGGAACAAACAAAGAAGCTTCGAGGGGGGAGTGTTTCCACCATCAGGGGATTTATGTCAGCACGGGTCGACATTTTCCCTGCTGAGTATGACAGGCCTGAGATCAGAAGCCGCGCACTTGCGGCTCTAGCATGGTTCAATGGATACCGTGTTGAAGGAGCTGTTGCATTTGAAGCGCAACAAGATCGCTTTGCGTGGCTGGACTCTTGAAGATCTGGTTCAGGAAGTCCACACCTTAGTCCCAGGACTTAGAGCTGTGCGCCTGCTCCTCGACCGCCTTGATGCTTTTCCGGCTGTTCAGGTTGTTGCCGTTACCAGATCAGACCCCCCAGGCAGGCACATCGCCCCTCTATTGATTTTAGGCAAGGCCAGGGAAAGGTGTGCACCATTGCCCTGCCTGTGGGGGGTGAGGCTTTGGATATTTTGCAACTGTGTGATCAGGTTTGCCCTCCCGATCGACTGCCCAGCATGCCTCTTCAATTGCACTCTCCCTCAGGAGACCCTTTTCTCCGTCCGGACGCCCGCGGCGCATATCCCGACTTCCTTCGTGGCGTCGTTCGTGTTCTGCCGCGGCAGCCAGACCCAGGAATACCCGCTGAGGCCACGAACGAGGGCACAGCTCTGCTACAGCTTGCTTTTGGACTTCAGGACCAAAACCTTGGCAGACCATGTGAGAGCCATAGATGCAAGATGGACCCTGTTTTGGATCCAGATGCCTGCAATGGGACAGAAGACCCTATGCCGGTGGCACCCATTCGCCCTCCAACCCTGCTCTCGAGCGCTGGTCCGCCAAGGGCGAGCTTGTGGTGTATAATAAGGTATAAGATTATACCTGCACATTGGGCTACGCCCACAATGTTGCAGGTGCCAGCTGGGCAATTGAATCTTTATAGTGCAGCGGTGACCCAAAACAATGCAGAGCGTCGCTATTGTGTGTTTGACCGTTCAGGCACATGAGCACCAGAAAAGCCGCAGAGGATTGGGCACTAGAAGACTACGCAGCAGACGCCGTGACCAATGCGCCTGAGCCCACCTCCGTTTTTCAGGTGATTACTACTATGCTTGCAGGACTGCCGACTCCGCAATTCACTCTGACTCCTGTTGGCGCACCACCTGGAGCTCTTACTCTGCCTATAGATGCGCGCAACATTGGCGGCCCCGTCTTGGCACTGCTTGTACAGCCTGGTATGCCTTGCCAGGAAGTCCTTGACAAGCTAGCAAGCATTTTCCCCGCGGCCAGGTATCTTGTTGATCTTGCGAGAAGGCTGGATGGGCTCTTTTTGCAGGATTCGTTGGGGCGCATTTGGGATGCCTTACCGGAGGATCTTTTAGTACCCTGCAATGGCTTGTTGTTCACATCGACCGCACAGCCTTTCCGGGGGCCCCTGTCCAGGGCCAGTTTGCTGCCCAGTCACAGTGGACGGGCACCACATCCACCACCACGGCTACGCAGTCCTCAGCGCAAATCGGGACCCACATTGTCTTTGTACTTGCTGGTGAAGGCACTCTCATCCGACTGGCACCTCAGCCCATCCAGCAAGTCCACGTGGAGCACTCTATTGCCGAGATGCTTCTCATCATGGCGAGGCAAGGTCGCATGCCCAGAAATCCCCTCCTTTCACTGTGCACTGCGATGCCTCGTAACTTGAATAACCCCCAAGAGCTCATGGTGGGGTTCATGATTTATCCCAGTGCAGGAGAGGCCAGGGATGTGGCAGTGCTCCAAGATTTGTCTTCTGATGGCACCATGCTGCAAGCTATCATGGTCGACGCTGGAACGCGTTTGGAGCACATGGTAGGCAGTGCACAGGCCAGGCGGGGGTTTACCCCCATCCTCAATGGAGTCCCCAGAGCTGCAGCGAACCGTGACCTTGTCACTGGAGATTTGATCCAGCTGGAACAACCACCATTGACTACCAGAGTTGTGACGGTTGCGCATATGTACTTCCTACTCCCGGAACTCCGTTTCTTTGCGATGCCTCTGAGCATGCCCTCCATGGCACCAGTTTCACGCAATCCCATGAACCCCATTGCGGTGGAGCGTGGAAGAGAAGCGGCTCGACGGACACTGCAGCTGCGGACCATAGAGCGTCGAGTGGAGGTGGGCGAGCCGGGCCATGACAATAGGCCGCTAATGGTGATGGGTCCGACCCATCCCCCCTACTTTCTCTTTATGCCGGCGCCTTTGGAGCCAAGCCTTCGTGAGGTTTTGCTTTTCTTGTCCTACTCGGGTTTCTTTGATCCGGGGACAAGCTTTGCAGAGACTCGTGCATTGTCTCATGGAGTGGAGATCTTTGTGTCCATCCCTCCACGAAGCACACGCTCCACAGTGCTCCTCACAGCCCCTGACACAACGCTTACTTATCTGCAAGTGAATATGCCAGTGGGCATGCCTCTGCAGAACCTTGGGCTCCCGGTCCGGAGGGGTTTTGAGCTTGTGTTTCCTCCGCGAGCTGCTCACGGGGCTGTGATCAAAGACAAGGACCAACCCCAACATAGTGCAAGTTCCTCTCTTGGCACGGCTGGCACTTCACTTGCCCAGCTCCCCGACCTTAGTCGTAAGAGGGCTGATAGATGTAAGGGTCTTAGCCTTGTGACGCGGCTTGCAAGCTACTTCTATCTTTTCCTGGAAATCATTTAATTCCGATAAAAAAGCGAAAACCAATCCAACCGAAAAAGCGATGGTGCAGAAAATAATCCAAACAGAAAGCAACCAGAAAGCAAAAAAAAAGCAAAATCAAATGCAAACAAAAAGCAAAAAAAAAGCGAAAGAAAAGCGACACAGAAAGCAACAACAAAGCAACCAAAAAGCAAAAAAAAAGCAAAAAAAAAGCAAACAAAAACCGAAACAAAGAGCAGCAGAAAAAGGGGTAGCGTAAAAGCATGGTGCCTTGTTTGGTAGAGCGAAAAGTAGGGACTACAGCACAGATTTAGCAATCCACCCAGGAAAAGACACCACGAAGTCCAGCGAAGCAATCCAAGCAGGGTATTTGTCACAATATACATACACAGACGGCAGAACACATAAACTTCAAACACATAGAAAACGAGCACAACTAACTAGCGGCACACTAACTAGTAGCACTAACCACGCACGGCAAATCAAATCAACCACAAACGAATGTCATAGACCACCAGAAACGTGAATGCACCCAGGGAAAGCTCAACAAACAGCAGCTGCGGTGACCACGTTACACCCCGCAGCGTGCCACGTGAGCAAAACGGGCACAGTACATATCAACGGACATTAACATTTCAAGGGATTCTACGACATGACTTGTCCACGTCTCGTGGCAGTATAGAAACTGCCTTTGGTTGGCACGGACGCTCATCGAGCAAAAACGGCTACGGTAGAGGCCAAAATAGCTACGGTGTTATGTCATGTGTTGCACTCCAATGTGTGTTCTGTCATCTTGTCTGCTGGTGTCATCCATGTATGCTTTCAGCGGTTTCCAAGGACTGTTGTTGATGTTTGGTGGATCTGTCATGGTTGTGGAACTGTTTTTGCTTATGACCTGGACACGTACAATCACCCACCAGGTGATTCAGGATTGGTGGTTCTTTGGTGTGAGTTACTACCGATATGTTTGCAGGCATTGCCGAACTGGAAAGATTATGCGGTGAAGCACTTTCCAAACCTGCCAATGGAGGCCAGCATATCCTCCGGCACACCAACATCTTACGATCTCACGTGAATGCAAGCAAGTCCATATGTCGGCATATGTCACACACGCCGAAATGCGTTCACCAAAACTTCCGGCTTACAAGGTTTCTCAATTAAGATTCGCAATCCAGAAAACATATGAAAGTAGGTCACTCTTGCATTCCAGTATATGCATATATGAAAATGTGCAAACGGCTCCAATTCCCTCAGCGCTAAACCCGAACCTACACATCCTCGGCCGTAAGTAAGCAGCCCAACTGAACTTGGACTGTGTTCTCCGGTTTTTTCACCCCAAGCGGCAAGGCTGCAAAGCTTTGGGTAGGTTTGCACGTGAAGCGAAAGGAAAAATGATAAGAGCTGTGCCTGGTCTTCTGAAGACCAACCCGGATGGCCTAGGACCTAAGCCCTAAGGTATACAGGTATACTCCGAGTACGTACTTTGGGTTCCGGGGTTTAGCAACAGCCACAACAACTGGCACGGCATGGAGCCTTTGCTGGAAGCCTGGGGCTTGCAAAGTAAAATAGCGATGGTTCCAAAAGCAGGAATGCCCGACGTGGTCTGGTCTCGGGAACACGGCAGGATGGTAGTACACACAGTATGCCAAGATACGGACTGGAAAAACTGGCGGCGACTTCGAAACAATCAAGACGTGCTGCTACCTATCATCTCGCTACAACAACTTGCCTATCAGTTCCTAAGCACCACATCTGAAAATGTCTGGAAGACTTAAAAGCTGGGCCCTGCAAATCTCCATCTCATTTCTTGTCCAGCAGCTGCTTTGCAGCTGCCAGCACAGCTGCATGGACATGCGTCTCATTGATGCCCAGCTGCCAATGATCTCCGGCCAGATAGGAAAGCTCAACACGAACGAGTTTTTGCGCTTCCCCCTTGTTCGACTCCATCAAAGCATTTGCGAGAATGCCCTCGGATCTGAAAATATGGCCACTGACAAGGCTCTGATTCACCTTCTCGCATGTGTCGAAGAATGCTTTGGATTCATCCTCAAGCTCCGCCACAGTCTTGAGGAAGGTCACCTTCTTCTTCCAGATGGCAATTTTGGCATTCACCTGCAAAACAGCGGCTCCCCTCAAGCTTCTTATAAACAACCTTCGAGTTACCTCCAAGAATACCTATATGCAATCATGGTGTACATACCAATCCCGACTCAGGCAATCAAAAAGGATACTACAGACAATCAGAAAGAAACCTAGCGGCTACTGCGGCTAGTGACGGCTGGTGACACCTATGACCTATGTCTTTATTTTTGAAACAGAAGCCTCCTTGAGAGCTTGCAGGGTGGGCTCCAGCTGGGAAACATCAAAGTCGAGGCTGCTGGCGATGCACATTTTCACCGTTTCGGCCGTTGCATCGGGCTTGAGATCTTTCGTCCATCTGGACTTCGGGAGGTGGAGGTTCTGGGTGCTGTCGCCCATCTTGTCGATGAGCTCCTCTGCATCCTTCTGCATGGCCTTCATTGCGAAAACAAAGGCGTCCTTCATGTCCTCAGGCACCTGGAAGGGTCGATCCAAGTCAGAGAAACATAGCTCCTTGAGTTTGGCATGCTCAGTAGGAGCAGAGGATGCCAAAACGTCCACACGGCTGCTGGCCTTGTCCCTGACAGTCCGCAAACCCTCCAGCTGCTTCACGTACGTGAGAAGAGCTCCCCACCTGACATCGTTCTTGAGGCGCCCGGCAGGGTCGCTGCCGAGCTTGCGGAACTTCTCCATCTGCTTCAGCACATACAATCCATCCTGCATGTACTGCATCTGAAGCTTCAAGCTCTCCGCCACCGGGTCAGCGAAGGCAAGCTTCCCAAAGCCGTCAAGGAGGCTGAAGATCTGGTACGCAAGCCGCTTCAGGTTGGAGGCCTGCAATGAAAACAGTAAGAACAAATTCAACAGACACGATGTAGAATAAAACCATAGCAGTTGCTGAGTCTGTGTATGCGGGCGGAAGCTACAATGCAGCCAGCTACAACTGCTCAAATACCCGAATGAATCTACGCACACACACACACATTGGTATCTACCAACCTGCCATACTCGAAATCTGTTTGCTACAAGTTACCATGTGTGTGTGAGGGCGGGTGTAGTACCAGAACCAAGGGATAAGTCGAACTATGAAAAGTTTCATTGTGAACCCTTTTGAACATGTCACTGCGGGTCCTGGTTGTGGACCTTCGTCATGATGGCCCAAACCAACTGCTGAAGCAGCTGTTTGGCATCGTCCTTCAGCTCCTTCTCGGCCTTGAACTTGTCAAGAAGCTTGGCGAGATCGTCCAGCGGGATCTCCTCATCATCGTTTCCGGCTTGGTTGAGGATCTTGTTGCCAAGAGCAGATGCCTCCTGCTTGAGCAGCTCCACTTGGACGCTTTGCTGCCACTTCAGAAACTTCTGCTTCAGCTGCAACATGTCCTTCTGGGGAAACTTGTCAATGGCCTGCATGAGCACCTGGATGATGCCTCCGTCGCTCTCGGACACACTCGGGGAGCTGCAGAGCTTGTCGATGTACTTCTGCGTCGTCTCTCGGATGAGGGACAGCAGCTCATCAACGGCATGCTTGCGAAGCCCATTCCTCAAAGTATCAACTACGTTGACCGCCTGGACGAAGTGCTCGCTGAAGCCGTCCTGTCCCGAGATCGACTTCATCTTATCCACATGCTCCTTCAACTCCTGCCCGAACTTCAAAGCACTGCCTCCGAGCTTCAAGACCTCATCCACCCTCGATTGCCAAATACCCTGGTCTGCGAGGTGCAACCGCAGGGCACTCAAGAAATCCTCAGGGTTGCTGCTTTCGTAGGCCACAATCTTAGCCACTGCGCTGGCCGATGTCCCCAAGAAGCCCGGTGTTGGCTCCAAGAGAACCAGCAAGCACGCCATGGCCTGGAACACGGTGCTCATTGCATTCGCAATGGGCGTGCTCATCTCCAAGGACTCCGCTGAGTCTTCCGTATACCTGGTCACAAACCTCACGGTCACACCTTTGAGGCGTTCATGGAGCTTGGGCTCCTCGATCATCGCGAAAAACTCGCCGCAGCCCATGGCATGTAGAATCGATGCCTCCAGCTCCTGACAAGCGCAAGTGAACTCAGCCCGGCCCCACTCACCCGCAGCAAACCTAGCACACAGGCATACAAACACTGACACGTCGCAAACAGAAACACACACACACACACTCCCTCTCCCTCTCCTCTCTCCCATCTCCCCTCTCCCCTCTCCAACTTCCCTCTCCCTTTCCCTCTCCCTTTCCCTCTCCCTTTCCCTCTCCCTTGCCCTCTCCCTTTCCCTCTCCCTCTCCCTTTCCCTCTCGCTCTCGCTCTCGCTCTCGCTCTCGCTCTCTCGCTCTCTCTCGCTCTCTCTCGCTCTCTCTCGCTCTCTATCTCTATCTCTCTCTCTCTCTCTCTCTCTCTCTCTCTCTCTCTCTCTCTCTCTCTCTCTCTCTCTTTCTCCTCTTTTTCTGAACGAACACTCACTGACACCAACCGACCAAAACACACATGCATTCCATCGAAACTCAAACCCAACCTTCACTATCACTATCGACAATAACACGCTGTCACACCGGGTTGCTCAAACTCTTGAAAAGGCTTGGAGTACGGAAGACTGCGACAACTAAATTGGGATCTGTGTCTGTACCCAAGGCACCTTGCGACATCTCTAGTCACTCTAGTCTCAAGAATCCATGGCGTAGGCTTAGGCGGTTTGGGGCTAAGGTTTTTGGGTGCTTTTAGGTTGTAGGGCCAGTTAAGTGCCTGGGTTTACGGGCAAAAGGACTCGGATGATCGGGGTTTCGGTTTAAAGGCTTTGGGGGTTAAGGCTTACCGTTACAAGCATCACGGTCAATGGCCTTCGGGTACAAGATTACGGGCTTTTATATTTGGAGTTAGGGTTACGGCTACGGGTTTATTTCAGTTCAAGTTTCTGCGCCAAACTTTTCGGCATCAAGACACCAAGACTTTAAAGCTCAAAAGCATCCCAGCCTCTTCCAAGACCTGCAGCGTCTTGGTTTCCTCCTCATCGTCCTTCGTGTCCTCCTTGTCCGCCATCACCTCTGCCGCCAAGTCGTCGAAGCTGAAGATGTCCACCTCTTTCCCCTTCTTCTCTGCCTCATCAGCTGCGTCCTCAGGCATGCAATGTCGCCAGCTGATCAGAACACTCATCATCTGGTCCACGATCTGAGTGATGTCCTGTTGCGAGCTTCAATGACATGTTAGACACTGAGACCAGACTGGGCAAACATCTTCGAAAACCTGGAAAAACTACAATGCTCCAGTGTTTTGTTGGACTATCTGGGACCATAGGCATAGGTAACTTACAGGATTAAAGGGCTCGGTAATGTTTTGTGCCCAGCAGAATACCATTGAGTTCACTGTCCTGGGCAGAGGTGCTCTGGGGGCTGTGGTAAAGCTCGCTCCAAGTGCCCGCAAGGATTTTCTCTGTTCCCAGGACACGGATGTTGAACGGCAGCTCGATGTTATTCGACAACAACTTTTCCATGGTCAAGCGGCACTCTCGAGCAGTGATCTGGCTGGAGTTGTGAACCAATCCGTTTGCCATCTCGCAAAGTTCGATGTGTTTGTGCAAAGTTTTCCATTGGAACTGGCGCTGGGCCTTCATGTCATCCATAATCTTTCTCGCCTTGCTAGGCAGAGAATGACTGTGGTCTCTCATTATATTGTTGCACGGTTAATGACACCGAATTATGAAGCAGCTGCATTGTCCTGGAACCTTGCAATGGAGCTTCTGAAACTTTGTGTATGAGTCTTGAAAAGCCTCGAAGACAGATGACTGTTGCTAGAATCTGCTAGAATACTAAAGACAACTCGGTTTGTTGAAATGGCAACAAACCTGCTCACAACTTACAATGATGACTTTCATGGTTGAACTGGCAACACTGAATCACGTGACCAATGAAAAAACTCGATTGCACACAACAATAGACGGTCCACGGCCTTTGTATCACTTCACTAGCACTAGCCTTCACAAGCCCCGACTACTCTGACTACACAGCTGCAGCACTTCTCGGTTCCCAACTGCATCCACACTCCTCATCAACTTCTCGCCCATGAGAATTCGATCAATGTGCAAGTTGGTAAAGCATTTCGGCGTGTTGCCACGGGCCGCAACCACAGACTCCAAAGGTTTGGGGACCCCCTCTGGGTTGTCAACCACGGCAATCTCCGCGCCGGCGGGTGCTTTCTTGCCCCCCTTCCTCTTGGGCTTGGCAAGCTTCTGCAGTCGCCCCGACTGCTGAACTTTCAACTTCTTTGCCTTGGGACCGTCACCGTCCTCGTCGTCACCAGCCTCGGAACTGCTATCACCAGTGGCCTTGACTGGCTGCGCACCGCTCTTGGCCACAGCCTTTTGGGCTTTCTCTTCAGCCCCTCCAAGGACTTGAGCTCCTTGAACTGCTGCTCGGTCTGCAGTCCCTTCGGTCTCTGCTTCAGCTGCTCCTCGCTGTGGTAGCTGAAAACCGCTTTCCCTTGCCCTTCTACAAGCTGTTTCGCTGCTTGCAAAAGCATGTCCTCCCTTGTCAGGCCGAACCTGTACTTGCAACAAAGCTTCCTCATTCCGTTGGTAACGGTGCAGGGAAGCCCATCTAAGGTGATGATGAAAAAGTTCTTGTCGTGGCCGAGCGGGCTCGGCACCTCCTGCAACTCAGCCTTCACAGCTGATCCGGCGAACTTTGTCAGAGCCTCGAACTCTGCCTCCGACAGGAGGCCCAATTCCTGGTGAATCTCCATCTCCATGGTTTCCCAGTCTACGACATTGCTGGCGGCGTCCCACTGAGGTGGGTCGATCTCCCCCGACCGGATCCTCGCCGACTTGAGGAACTTGGGCCGCCACTTCGGCTCCTTGTCGAACCTCACTGTTTTGTTCCCCCGCATTGGCCCCACATGACCGCCACATTGCACTACGGACACACACACACACATAGGCTGAAAACAAGGATGACTGACTAAGCTCTCCACTTCTCCTTCCCAGCAGACCACGGCTTCCCCGGGTTAGTGTCGCTCCACGTGCCGCCACAGTTGTAACATCCATCATCCACAGGCATTCCTGTGGAATCTTGGCTCATGAACGTCGTCTCCTTGGACATAACACTCTGTGGCACCACTGACTTTGTTGCATGATAACAGTAAGAAGTATGAGACAACATTTTCGCAGCCCGTGACTCGTTAGCATGGAAGAATTACATGGTTACATTGGCCATCGTCGCATATGAACATGTGGTACAACCCAGGATTCGACACGCTGCAACTTCAAAGAAAACTCAACAATCATTTCCGAAGCGGTTGGGTGTCGTCGGAGGACTTGCCGCACATGTGGCACCTCCTCACAAAAGTACGGCCTCGAGTGGGCACTTGCTGACTCTGCCTGCTCTTCTTGGAAGCTCGGCTTCCTCGCTCACTGTTGCGATCGAACTCGTCAGCATCATCATCACCCGGGGGACCTCGCTTCGGCGTCTTGTCCTGCTGCCAAGTGGACGACACGCAAAGGTCGTTGTTTCTACAAGCATAAGCACAAAAGTCACCGGCTCCCAAGCGGATACAGAATGCAGCAACCCAACGAGAGACGTGTCTGCAGCTACCAGCTACCTACCTTGACACTTCTGCGACACTGCGAACACACAGCCGCAGCACTCCTTCCCACGTCTGGAAGCACCAGTGCCGCTGCCGCTGGCCCGCATTGTCAAGATCTGGACTCTGCCGGGCTTGACAAAGGATCACTAGCACTAGCTATGGACTCACTGCCCACACGGCTGAAAGCCTGCAGCATCACAAGGATGGAACAAGACATGAGAAACTGCGGCTGCAAAGGGATGGCCCACGCTGCATGAATCAAAAAAGAATCAGCTGCCACACAAGCACAATGCTCTTTCAGCACCGGCTTCTCCTCTCGATGTGTCCATCGAATCCATCTGCCACAAAGACAACTAGCTAGCTGTGCCCTAGCTGTACAGAAGCAGCAGGGACCCGGGGACCTAGGATACTGTAACTGTACGGCCAGACTCCAAGCAAGGCGCGGCGAGTCTGGTGGCTGGACTTCCAACTCGAGTGACCAGACAATCCGGCTGGGTTCCACACGTAATCTAGCCCTTGCAGCCCTGGTCTCTAGTAAATCAACAGGATGAAACCGGGGACCAAACCTCCAGGGTACATGAGGCATTACAAATAAGAGATTGGGACAGGATAGGAGTGTGTGGAGTGCTAGTTTTAAAAAGCTCAGAAACTTCTCATTATCTGACTGTACACATGTCTGGGTGTAGGTCTCGTATTTTTGCCAGGAGCAGGATATTTTCTCAATGACATCTCCCCTGAACACAGCTCTAGGACTGCTTCCGGCCACGACTTCTTCCTGATGTGAAACTTGCAGAGCCTCGCAAGACACGCACAGTATCATACTATCTACCCTATGTTTTATGTCTATATATATATATATATATGTAGTTTATTGCATTGAATAATTCCTTTACGAGCTACTAGCCATTTCCCAGCACTTCGGAGAAACTCACCAGGAGTAGTTACCAGAAACAGAAGCAGCGAAACTCTGCACACCATCGAATCATACGCTGAGTCATTGTTTCTGTGACTCGATGGAGAACGAAGCCTCCCATCTGCAGAAATCTCCATATGTCCATTCCAGGACTGGGAGAAGAAAGTCGGAACAGATTTCTGAAGCTCCTTCGGACACATCCTCTTAGCTTTGGCACAAGATTACACATTCAAACTTCATGCTAACACGTCACTACACTGCACTGCCACTACACGTGCTGCATACTATACTATACCAAACTATACCATGCCATACTGTACAGCACAGAACCCTCGCCACTCCGACAATCAATGAGTCCCACAAAAAACTTTGTCTCACACATCCTGCCGAGACACATGCATTTCTACGAATGGCCAAAGAAGGCCCACAGAACAAAAATCATCATATGAAACAGTGCTGGGCACTACGGCTTTCAAGAACACCATCACTCAGGGAACTGCCGTGTCAAGTACAAGCACCAAATGACAGCAGCAAGTGAAGGGATTGACATACCATCCCCAGCTACCTTGCGCACCTCCGGCTCTGGGATGTCGGCCGGAATCACAAAGTCTCGTGGGAAACCATGAAGTAGCAGCATCTCGTAGCCACTCAAGACAACATCACGGCTGAAATCATACAAAACCGTGCTTGTTGTGAAGGTGCGAACAAACCCAGATTTGTTGCTGTGGGCACCACGCTTCACCCCCTGGCTGACATCGATGAATTTGCCCTCCATCAGTGAACGCATATCCACCCTGGCACATTCATCAGGCCGGCCACAGTTTTCTTTAAGTTCTGAAGCCACATAGCAATCCAGTACGTCCAACATCCTCTCCGAAGCTGGTAAACCAACTCCAAGGAACGACCTCCTTGAAGTCCATGGCTTATAGTTCTCCGAAACCCCGAGGGTCTTGCGAAGCACTTTCGATTCGGCCTTCCACCTTTTCGAGGCCGAAGTAGGGTCCTGAGCATCGAAAAATATAAGCTTTTAGCAGGAAAATGTCTTTCTGTCATTGAAAAGTAGTCCACATACTCAAAAAGAGTGTCCGACTACTTTTCAAAATAAATCCACAACAAGCCTAAAAAGGGCGAGTTTTTACTAATTTCGTTTCAAACGAAATTTGCTTTTGGAAATAAAGGTTTCATCCTTGTTAGAGGAGTTCGACCTGCAGTTGTATGTGAGGCTGGCAGTCCGGTTGAAGTTTGTAATCATGATGAAACACAAACCTAGGACCTAGGCTTTGAAACTCTGTGTTTCGTGAGCATCGAACCCCATGCCACCATCATCATGCCAGGTTTGCAAAGATGAGCACCAAACTCGCGCACACATTGACCCGGAAGCCTGGGACTTGGGGGGCTGGTGGAAGGAACGTGACTATGGGGCTGGTGAACTGGCTTGGTCTGGGAGGGCCTGCCCTGGGTGCGGATTGGCTGGAAGCCCGTGGTGTCGCTTTTTCCGCTGTTTTTTGGGTTGCTTTCTCATCGCTTTGTTTTGGGCTTCTGGCTCCATTTTGGTGCCTGTCCCTGTCCTTTTCTGGTCCTTTTTGGTTCCTTTTTGGTCCCTTTTTGGTCCCTTTTTTTTCCCTTTTTCGTCCCTTTTTCGTTCCTTTTTTTTCTCTTTTTGCTAGGGAAAATGCAATTTTTGCTTGCCAGGGTGGTCCGGAGCCAGGGCTCCGAAAAAGGGAATAAAATGCACTGGAAAAGCGAACGATTTCCAGCCAAATTGAGAAAACGGGACGGCAACAATGTGGCAAAAAAGCAAACGAAAAGCGATTTCTCGACTCCAAACAATGAGCCCTGAAAAGCAAGGGCCAGTAACAATCCAAAAGAAAAGCGACCACACCAGAAAGCCAGGTTCTGTCTCCCTGCCCCCGCCTTCCCCCCATCAGGACCCCACTGAAGCCCTCATCGTGCATAAACATTCTCCCGGATCAAACAACTCGTGCAACTAGCCGACTAGCCTTCCACTGCGGCCCTGAAAAAGCATCCACACCGCCCACACCCCTCCATGCCCCTTGACCCCTGCCCTTTGCAGCATCGAACATCACGAAGCATACAACCATTCTGAGTAAAACTCCAAACTCCGAAATCTATCAATCAACAAGTGTAATAATGTGACCAGGTCTTGTTGCCCAAATGTCGTGTCCATGCACTGAACTGCTAACCACTCGGAGCTCCACACTGCTGACTGACAGAATTGCAGCAGAAGAACCTGGCAGTCCATCGGGGTCACCCCTCGCGGCACGTCCTCCAGCCTCCTCTCTGGCAAAAGATCGCTGAGCTTCTTCGGGGTCGCCTCCTGCTGCTTCGTGATGAGGTCCTGCAAAGCAATCCAAAAACAAGCCAACAAAATCAGCCTAGCGCCTAGGCCTAAGCCTAAGCCTAACCAAGCAGGCAATTGTCCGGGGACATAACCTAACCGCTGTATTGTACCTATACCCCACCCTGCTCATTTCGCATTCAGACCTCATCACCTCGAAGAAGGCTGGGCTTGGACTTGGGCCTAGACTGTCCTACACCTGTTCTGCAGAACACAAGCCGATGCAGCAGTGGCAGGTGCACACAATATTACAACATGAGGCTCGAGACCTGACACCAGCACGAACTCCGATGCTGCAAAACAGAACTGGCCTTGTAAGTCTTGGCAAGGAAACCAGCATCTGCGACACCATACACGTCCTTGCGCAGGAAGACGACGAAAATCCTGCATTCAGGTAAATTCAGGTACAGTCGAAGTAGCTTCACTGTTGCACAAGAGCACCGGGAAATGAACCGTGCACACTTACCTGGGGGTTCGGGAAGGAATCAAAGACCCTGAAGACAAACCAAAATCCAAAGTCCAAACCTAGGATCCATGACTGTGCGACTTATCTGCGCTGCAGACGAACTGACGAACAGCGAAGCTTCAAGAAGCGCATGTCACAATTTTTCACCGAATCACTGGAGGCTCGTCAGGCTCATCGTGATTCCGTGTGCGTTCGTGACTCGCAACATCCGCAGCATGTGGTTCTCGCATGAACTCAGCTCTCGCTTCCTGCCTAGACAGAAGACTGAGATGTCGAGGCACTGCCATCTGCTTGTGCTCTTGTGAAGAGCTGCACTGTCCTGCGGCATTGAGCCAGGCACACAAAAACCCGATGGGCCTCCCTTGCGAGGGGTTCGTCGCAATTTGTCGTGGAGCTGAAGCTGGGTTGGTGGTGCGGGTGATTCTGCAGTCAATATGATCAGGATGACGGCAGACCGCCATGATGTGACAGTCTTTGGCATTGAAGCGAAGGTCTCCTAAACTCTTGAAGCCCACCACAGTTGTCGGGCGTGGTTCGGCACGTGGGTGGGCTGTGTCTGCACGAGCAGGACCCATATCAGCATCATCGACAGAACCTGCAGCAATGTCTGGCGCTGCTGCAGCGGCTGCAGCGGAGCCTTCCGCTTTCAAGCTTCCATCATACCCAGGCTCCTCCCTCTCCAAAGCATCGGCCACATACTCAGACCATGGAGTGCTGGAGGCCTCACTGCGGACTTCCTCATCATGCAGAAGATCTTCTTCCACTGGATCTCCAGCCACATCGTCCTCCGGTTCGTGTGCAGGCAGAGGCTCCACGGCATCCGTGGATGAGCCCGGCGCAGACTTGGGTTCTTTTCCGGAACCCAGCTGTGGCTGAAGATGTCTCCTTCTTCCGCTTGCCAGATGAAGGCACAGGTCGACTTTTGGAGTTCTTTTCATGGCGGGCCTGTTCTGCCGGCCAGCCCTGCCAGAATTCCATGTTGGGCACTTCTGCATGCTGTTTCACAAGCACTGTGTCGGGTCGCATGCTGGCCCTTTCCAGCTCATCATTGTTGCTCAAGATCATGCTGACAGTGAACTGCCACGGGCCACTGAAATTGATGCCGCTTTGCTCAAACATTCTGACGGAATGGCAACATTCTTGAGGTGTGGGCACTTGAAGCTTCGTGTACTCAGGCCGAGCCTCATCAGCACCAGCTTCGTCCAGACGCAACACACCGAGAGCCCACGTCGTATAATTGATGTGGCCGAGATGGAGCCAGAGGGAAGTTGGAGAATCTGCTTCACCCTCCGCACTGACATTCATTGCAGTCAGGGCCAAAGCTTTCCAGGAGGAGTGCATGTACTTGTGAGGCAGAACCTCTTCTGCTGCGGCAGTTCGGCTGGATGGCCGCAAGCAAACAACAACGAAACCATCATCCAGAAGCTTTCGGTTGGATTTCAGTTTTGTCTGCTGATGCTGCTCGGCTTGCGACAGCTCCTTGATCACCATGTTGCCAGCAGCATCCCGAATCTTGCGGGATCTCTTGGGTGTGAAGAATGCCTTCAAACAGAAAATCAGCCTGCAATGAAAGAGGTAAGCTTGCAAGCCACGTGAAGCACAGACACACATGCCGAGCTGTGCACAACGAGTTGGAAGAGCATCTGAAGCATCTGGAAATGGTGTCTCATCTGTGTTCAAAATCAAGTCACACATGCTCTGCCACTTGTCCAAAAGAGAGGCCCGCAAGGTGCTCTTTTCACCAACTGAGAGCAGATCCTGCACAGGGCCACCAGACATGCGGCAGGAAACACTTCAAACAAGGCATGGTGACAAGGTTTGTGGTCCTACATCAGTAGCGGGCTGACTCTTTTTGGTTTTCAAAGTTTTCCGGTTAAAGCTGAAACCCTTGATTATCTACGGGCCATTAAGAGGTACAATTTACTGTTCATTATTCCTTCCTTGCAAAGCTCCAAAGCTGAGGCTTAGGGCTTAGGGGCCTAGTTACAGTTACCTAGTCGATTAAACAAGAAACCGGAAGAACTTAAAGCTGAACCAGTAGTGACTAGGTCCCTCATGATTGAACCATCTAACCCGGGCACTTCGCCGATCTTGTCCGCTGGTACGCGCATTTCCGCCGACACGAGGCCATTAAGCGCAGGCACATGCTCCACCACACCACATTCTCGAAAAAGATGCTCTTGATCTTGCCGATGCTGAACCCGGCTGTCGCGAAAAATGTCACACCAGTCTTTCACAGACGCAGATCGCCTGTGATACTCCTGCTGAACCACCTGCAGTTTGTCTGACAAGTCTGCAGCCATCAACTTGTAAGCCTGGTCAGGGACTGCCAACTCCTGGTGGCCAGCGGCAGGCACAGCCACAAGAGCTTCCACGGCCACTTCCTTGCCAGAGCCAGAAGATGATGCCGCTGCTGCAGGAATAGCACCATGATGAGCATAACCCGGCAGACCTCGGGCTCTCGCACAGAAAGCCACGTCTGCCATCTCTTGGTACCTCTGATGCTCTGCGGGTGTCAAGCTACGGTACTCCTCAACGAGAGCAGCGTACGAAGTGCTGCCGAGGTCAGAGATTCTGCGGCGGCACTTCTCGCTGAGGAATGCATTCCAAGGATTCTTTCGCTCCGGCTGCTTCGGCTCGGGCGGCACGGTGTCTGCTTGGGCTGTTCCGGACACAGGCATGTCACGGCAGAACTGGGCTCGGTCAGCACTGTTCGATCCTCAGTCAAATCAAATCATAGCATAGCCCTATGTCATAGGCCTAGCCCAAAGACTTGGCTGAAACTTGCACTTTCAGAGAGGACTTCAACATCTCAAAAAGATTGAAAACTTTCACAGAGGACTGAAACATCTCACCAAACAAGACTGAACATATATCCTCCAAATGTCGGCACACCCAATCGGCCCCCACGGCCGTCAGTGTCGGGCGGTGTGTTTGCACCGATTTGATGGTTGTGATTCTCCGTGTTGATGCATGGCGGGCTTCTATCGAAGCAATGTGCAACTGAAACATTGAAGCGATGGCCGTCAGAACAGCTTGCGACTCAGGACTGTCCAGGTCACAACCCTCCGAGAGGATCAGCTTTGTGAGACGGCAGTGCATGCACTCCGGATCCTTCGCCTCGTGCACCTTGTCTAAACTCTTGAAGAGCTTGATTGGGTATGACCTGTAGGTTGTGCCGATCAGAAACTCCGTGCTGCACACATTGCGGCTGAGCATGCGAAACAGAAGCACCTGGTAGTGGCGGAAGTGACACCATCGCGGGAGAAGCACGATCTGCTCGTGGAAGGTGTCACTCACACTCCGCCGGTAAGCATTGAGATCTGATTCCCGCGCCGCCTCAAGCACCGCATACGATCGACGGCAGCCTTGGGACTCTTTCGTCCTCTCAATGTCTTCCCATTCCGCACTGCCCGAATAAATCAGGCGGTGGTAAAATCGAGACATTGGCCGCAAGGCCTGAAGCATAAGAAGCACAGGTGGGAACAACGGTTGTTGAAGCCACACCTGCACTTTCTGCCGCATCTTCACCTTGAGCTCCTTCCAGTCGATGTTGCCGGTGGCAGCCTCCATGTCTGCCTCATCTGCATCGACCTCCTGACGGTCATCCTCTGCCGCACGCGGCAGCACCGTCGGAGTGACATTCAGAAAGTCTTGCAGCGTAGGGCGAAGCAAGCCATGGCAAGCCTGTGCCAGTCCGAACCACAGGAGAGAGTCATGGAACCCGTCCCATCGGGTGCGCGAAAAGATTGGAGGCCGCTTTGGAAGCAAAACTGGGATGAGCCATTTTGCCATGAGTTGCACAACATGCTCTTGCTCCAGTCCCCATGTTTCACTCCAGAACCATATCTCATCTTGGTCTTGCAGGTCCCCGTGCAGGAAGAAGTTGATGATGGCTCGACTTCGCTTTCTTTGCAAGTAATGCTCTTGCATCCTGCCAAGAACATGCTCATCTCCATCATCGTCCTGCAAGGGTAGGAAGGTTTCCAAGACAGCAGATCTGTACTCGTTTGCAAACGGATCCTCCGGCCGAGACCCGAAGCACAAATGCACCTTGTCTTTCAGAACCTTCTCCATCGATGATCGAAGCGATCGGATGCTTCCCGCGTCCATACAAGTCAAAGCTGTAGCAACCATCCCGGTGACTTGACCGTCCAGCATCTGGACGGTCTTGGATTGACAGGTGTGGGTCATATGCACAACACAAAAATGATGTGTTGTGCAGCCGTTGATTCCCCCAGTGTCGAGGAGTCTCTCGGCTTTCAAGTTGGAAGCACAGCGATCGGTTGTCACGAGTTGCAGATTATATTTGGCCTTTTGGCCGAAGGACTGGAGGCCAGGAATCATGTCCAGAATTGACCTCTGGGCCTTGGCAGTCGTCTGAGCATTTGTTTTCTCCAGCGCCATGAGCCAGCAAGGCATGGGAATCCTCATGCTGTAGTAGGTCGCGCTCGAGACATGATTCATCAGAATCAAAACATCGCATCGGGTCTGGAGGACTTTCGCAGTCCCCTCCTGCTTGCTTCGCTTCTTGTTAAATGCACCCAATTCAGAATATGTCATCCAAGCGACGCTGATATCCGAAGGAGTTTCATCATAAGCCCTTCGGACAAGGAGCATCACCACCCTGTGGGTCTTGGGATTCACACCAGCACACAGCTTTGACAGGGTAGCCAGCAAGGCCCCAATCAAAAAAGCTGAGAAAACTACCAAATAACATGCTGCCTGCTGCATCACGACGTGCAGTGCTTGTCTGTCCTGCTGCATCATTGCAGCCTGTGCGGTCAGGCTGCCCGTAGGCCGAAAATGCAGCAGCAGTTCACTGAACATCCTTTTGAACCTTGCCACGGTGGCTGTCTTGGCCCCTCTGAGCTTCCACGCAGCTTGCGCGAGTTGCTGCTGCAAGTCTGTTCCGAGCTTTAGCAATCCAAAACTTGCCAAAGCGAAACCGTCAGACTCATCCTGACAAGGCGCTGCTTCTGTGTATCCAGCTCGGGCTGCCCTTGCCTGCGCTGCTCTCTCCACCGCAGCTTGATGTCGCTCGTCATCGTCCAAAGGCTGAGCCGGCTCAGCATCAACCTCATCTTCCAAGCCTCTCAAAGCTTCCCTGAACCCAGCACGGCCAGGTGGCCGCCCCACACGTGGCTGCCCTCCCGAAGGAGGCATATGGCACTGCAGAACATGTTACAAACATGGCTGCGCAGAAGCTTGCGCAGAAGTTGAGCAAATATAACAAGACCTTACCATGGTGCCGTAGTGCCATAATCCATCGTAGTCGTAGTCGTACTGATTCTCATGATTGCGAGGGTTCGAATGAGTTAATCAACCAATCATAACGGTCAACATTAAGATCCGACGGACTGCCCAAGCCACAACCTCAATAACACATCCATGGATGCTTTCATTGTTCAGTTGCTTGTCGCACAAGAACACACACAGTTCTCTCACAAGCTTTTGAACCGCAACACAACGTGACCGACAAGCTGCAAGGTTGCAGAAGAAACAAGTTTCATGAGCCGTTGGACTGGGATAAACCTTGTTACGAAGCTGTTCACAAAGCCTGGAGCAACAACAGGTCCGAACCACGCTGCCACTGCCACCACTGACTCACACACATACGTGCACTCGCTCACTCACTCTCTGATGCTCTCTCTTCCCTTGCAGTGTGCTGAATCGGTCCTGTCACGCATCAGCTGGACCCAATCTTGATGGGAAGCCCTCAGGACCACGGCATGGTAGCCTGGCTTCTTGGCCACCTTCAGCTCGGTGTGGATCATATCCAGAAACCTGGCCGAGGTTGATTATGGATTGGTTTGCGAGTGCTGCTTCATGTTAATTTGCGGTCCTATTGCTTCAACTCGGACATTGACTCCACTTGGATACTTCTGTGTTCGTGGAACTTCAATTGCTCAAGCTCGAATACATGCAATGCATAAATAATAAGTGTAACAACTGCGAGCACACCTCGCACACCCGGGCGACCAGCCCAAGAGCCGCTTGAAACACATGAAAGCCCTTGACCCCTGCAACGAAGAAAAGCCCAAGAGCCGCTTGAAACACATGAAAGCCCTTGACCTGCAACGAAGAAAACAATGAACGAACCACAATGCAACACAGCAACAAGAAAACTGGGCGAAGGTGAACTGTTCGTGTCGAACGGGGAGATGTCGCATCACTCTGAGCACTCTGTCAAACTAACAACTATGAGAGGCCGCAATCTCTGACTCCGGACATGCTAACTGCTAACTACACTGCCTGCAATGTGCATTGCAAGTCTAGCTTCTAGTGTCTGCTGAATGCACTCATGCCGCAAAGCTTACTGAATTGAGGTTCGCAAAGATACTACAGGCAGTAAGTTCGGACTCAGCCAACTACAGGGAACTCCAGAAAGTTGGAATATGGTATCATGGTAGGATACCCTATAATTTACCATCGAAGGGTTAGGATAATCATATTCCAACTTTCTGGCTTTTACCGTAAGCCACTAAGCATCTGAACCAAGCAGTTGTGTGCCCGCCTGCGCAACGGAGTGGGCTTTGATGGATCCGAAGCTGTCTCATGTTTGTCAAAGCCCGGGACTTGTTCAAGGATGAAGGCTTTGTGCTGCCCGTGCAGGAGCATGTCCCTTGCATCTATCATTGTCGTATCTGTCAGCACATGGTCCCGCACTGAATCTTCCAGGAATCTCTTACTGCGGAAAGTAGAAAACGGGGGACACGGAGATCCACAGACACACAAGTCACTCTCCCGCATGCCGCACTTCTGCTGACACTGCCCATGAAGCCGACATGTTTCATGCTCTATTTGATCACGAAGTGTTTCGTGCAGGTGAGTCGGCGGGTGATTGGCCATGATGATGCTGCGAGCCGTCTCATTCATCTCTGAAGCTCCGACCGCTGTGAACGGAATGCCCAGCACCTGGCGCAAAGACCAAATGTTTCAAGCCCAACACATCCACGGCACAACAGTCGAAAGATACGTGTATGGCAGCTTCATGAACCACTGGTGAATGTGTAACTTCGCTGTGCAGACTGGCGACTCTCAGCTGAACTGCCCGCAATAGTTTAGCAAATTCGCAAGAAATCGGATGACATGTTACGTGTGGGCCTCAAGGCACACTGCCTCCGAAAAAGCGCCCGTGCAGCAAGAAACCAAGCTTATCGGAGAGCTGCGACAAATTCCACGTGGAACCACATCTCGAGTGTGCATCTTGATGTCAAACACGAACCACTCCTTGTCACACAACTCGGGCGCATTGTCAAATGACACTATGGTGGATACTGCTGGCTCAGTGGACTGAAAGGGACATGCACTGCCCAACACTGTGCACCGCAAGCCGCCCTGACCCAGCACACAATACCTGCTGCGACATTCTAACTCTACAATACTCTACTCTACAGACCTGTCTGGAGGATAGCAGATAGCACACGACCAAGCTTCGTCGGAGGTTTGAGAACTGCAGGGGATCGGGCTGGGCTCGCTGTCAAGAGTCTGAAGCTTCGCGCAACAAGTCTGCCTCATTCATGATTGCCTCCATCTCTCGATCCGATGCCTCGAGACTCGCCGCCGTGATGGCCTTCCATCCCTTCATGGCTGCTACAGAGTGCTACGACCTGCTACAGCACGACGACTAAAACTATCCAAGCTGCCAAATGCATGCTTGACACGAAGAAGCAGATAGCACAGATAGCAGATTGTACAGTGTACAGCGCCGGAAGGTCTACAGAGTCTACAGTCTACAGCCCAACAACCCTAGAACTTCTACCCTGGACCCTGGCCCCAGCCTTTGCCCTTGCAATCTGAAAGAAAAAACAGACAAGTGAGAAGTTGCTGCACCAAGCCCACGCTTATGCAGTCTCCGAAATGCTTTGGGTGGTGTCTGCTAGAATCTATTAGAATCTGCTAGAAGTACGATAGTGTGTCTACAGCACGGCTTAGATGCAAGCTTTCGTCTCGGAGCATACGACGGCAGCCGCATATAGAAAATGCAAAAGTTAAACTAAATTCCGCCACGCAAACTGGAATGGAATTGAGGAGCAGGCCACAAACAAAACGAATTGGGACTACCGACATACATCAAGCAGCTTCCCAAGCTGCCCGGTATAAGTACACGCTTCTAGCAATCGTACTCACATCTGCACATCATAATACACTCTCATACTCTGTCATCACATTGGCCTTCTGAATGAGAATTGTGGACCACACTGACTACACTACACTACACTGTGTGAGTAGTAGAAAAAGGCTTCAAACACGGCTTCGATTATTTCAGATCAAACCTCCTCACACCATTCAAGAAGTGGGCGACATGGTCAAGAAGGCGAACATCGACACGTATTCCACAAATCTTTGGCCAAAGGAATCCAACTTGGTGCGGTGTGGCATCCGGGCATCCATACAAAATTGTCATTGTCCACACACTCTCTCCAACAAAAACACTCGAACGACCTGGCCCTGAACCTGCTTTCCTGTCTGATTCTGATTTGGCAATATCGGTCCAATTTTGGAAATGGTCCTATCTGTCATATCTGTGGCGTTGGCTTTCTCCCAACCACTGCTTCTTGCTTCTCCTGACCCTTCTCTTCGTTCAAGCGAATTTTCAACGATTTTAACGTTTCTTGCTGTCCTTGCCTAATTATGGCTTGATTATGACCTAATTACCCTTGCTTGTGATCTTGCTTGTCTTCCCGGACCCCATTGCTTTTACTTTATTACTGCGATACATGTTGATGTGTTTGTGTTGCTTTTTGGTTGCTTTTTGGCTGCTTTTTGGTTGCTTTTTGGTTGCCTTTTTCGTTGCTTTTTATTTGCTTTTTATTTGCTTTTTGGTTGCTTTTGGTTTGCTTTTTAAAGAGTCTGTTACCCTTTTTTATCGCTTTTCGGATCCCTTTTTTTCGATGTGCTTGCTTTTCTGACCCTTTTTTGTCGCTTTGGGAAGTCCTTTCCGATCGCTTTTTGAAGCTCCGTTACACTTTGGTCTCCTTTTTGGACGCTTTTCTTTTGCTTTTTATTTGCTTTCTCAAAATAGGGTGATTCGGTTTTTGGTCGGAAAATAAATGATTTCCGGAAAAGATAGAAGTAGCTTGGAGCCGCGTCACAATCTTAGCCTGCCACGTCTCGAAGAGGGCTGCAGCTGCCATGACGGCCAGCTTCACTGTCCGGAGGCCCTTCCTCCTGCACAAGGTCCTCAGGTCTCTCCTGCCACTTCCAGCGTCAACACCCTGTCAGGTCAGGGCCTGGATTGTGGAGCCGCCAAAGCACTACCTATCCCGTCCTGCGCCATACCTACTCCCTTTGGCAGACGCAGGGTTCCCCTTCCTGCAACTGGAACACCTGATGTAGACAGCAGTGCTCTAGGCAAGCTCACGAGGACCTGCCTAGCTCCAGGTTACGGCCCGGCCCATCGCTTTCCCATCTCTATTGCTGCTGCCCTTAGAGAAGAACCGCCACAACATGGGTCAGAGCTGTCGGAGGCCGCTTGTGTCCTTTCTGCCCTATGGTCACCAGCAGCACCTCGCCTTCGTCTTCAAGCCCCCTCTGCACGTCTCAAGTGGCCCGGCTGGAAGCTCCTTCAACAGTCAGCCTGGATCCATTGGGAATCTCTCCCTCCTGGACCGAAGGAGGTTTTCCTTTTTACGGATGGTTCCTGTAGAGGTTTAGAGGGCGCAGGGGCCGTGGCAGTGTTCACACAGCACCGTGACAACAGATGGCTCTTCCATGGCACCATTCTCATCTCGGCTGGCTAAGAGAGTTTTCCCAGCCGACGACCCCAGCTTCGATGGAGGCCTGCGCTTTGGGTGCAGCGCTCACGTGGACCCTGCGTTTGGACATAGGGAGCCAGTGTCACTTCTTGTCGGATGGACTCACCAGTCTGCAGGCCATGTCAGGGCGATGGAAAATTCCGATGCATGGTGACTCAGTGCAATGCCGATTTACGGTCACTGCCCGAATCTTGTACCGTTTAGGAGAGGCTCTTGGACTTGGCTTGCACACTCACCATGTGAAGGGCCATGAGGGCCATCCAGACAATGAGCTGGCAGATGCTTTTGCTCGCAGTGCCATTGTCCAGGGTACCTCTCCGGGGTGTTCTCCGGTCCTCGCTTGGTTGTGGGCCCTGCCATCAGGATGCCGTCCCAGAGAGTTGCCGGATGTCTGGAGTCTCCTTT